AACAGGAAGAAACCTCCAGCAGAACCACACTCAGACAGAGTCAACCAACCATTGTCATATACGTGTGCACTTACAGTTAAACTGCACATCAGTCCACTGAAGCAGAAAAAAATCTTCCCACACAAAATGAGCACAATGCATTTTGTGTGGGAATGCATTATCAGTCTATCCTGATAACCGTTATCAGGATAGACTGTGGGTGGTTACATCCTCTGCATGCTACACTGATGAGGTTTGAACTAGTTCACTGACTTAGTAAATTATTTATGAATGTAAGTAGATGTGAAACTTAAAACATGCTTTGACTACACTAGGAATAAGTCTCTTCTACATTTGTCATGAGACAGCTGTGTTGCTACCAACACACACTCGTTGGTTAGATAAAAAAGGGTGTGTAAATCCTGTATATGTGTCAGACAGATTGTGTGAAATGTAATCCATTGGTGAATAGTTCACTTGGCTATCTGAAAAAATCCACCCAACCACACACAAAAAAAACAGCTGGGTGTTGCCCTAGATTGATGGCTTATGTCCTGTGCTGTGTTGAGGTGGCTATAAAATTGAGATTACACAAACTGCTGAGGACCTGAAATCCTACATCAGAGCTGCAGGAACTGCTGTCCTCACTTCACAGACACTTAAAGAATAGTTTTAAAATACTGACTTCTAATAAATCCCTCATATTAAAGAGACACTACCAAGCTATTCTGTTTTGCCTCTGCACTCTCTACCACTCACTGTGGCACAGAGTAATCTCTCAGCTTAATTAACTAAGCGTGATCTTCTCCTTCTCCTGCTAACCTACTTATCTCACTTCAGTGAACTGATCATAAAATGAAATCTGCGAGGGACAGAGGGGGATTGGGCAGCTTTATCGGAATACTACAAACATAACACAAACTGGAAACATGGAGTTGGTAGTGGTGCAGTGAGTGATGATGTTTCTAAACGTACTGACAGGTGTGTTTGATGTGCTGGCCAACCAGAAGCTTGAAACATACAATTTCACTAAGGTAACAATGTTTCATAAGCGACATCACTTCACAATACTTTCTGCAAGACCTCAAATGGCGTGAGCCTCTTCAGCTGGATGAAGATAAAATAGAAACAGTTCCATCAAAGAGTTTTTTTTATTTACATAATTAAGCCTTAAGATTTCAGAATAACTCACGCTCAGTTCATTTTACACTGGTTCCTGTCAGTCTCTGACATCTCAAAATATTACTGCTAGGTCTCTCACATGCACCCGAATAAAGAGATCATATCGTATCTGTTTTAGCTTCTCTCCACTGGTTTCCAGTGAGGTTTAAAATTGATTTCAAGGTCCTCCTGTTTGTATACTGAAGAGAAAATTTCCGTCCCGGTTTCCCTCCAAGGCGTGAGCACCGATAAGCAGAGTTTTGTCCTTTCCTTATAATACTCCTAATTATTCAAAGTAACACTCAGGTATGCCGTTCAGCAGGTTAGTTACAGCGCCGGGAGTAGCTTGGGAGAACAAAATGACACAGAAACTGCTTCAGGTTGCTCTTCCAGAATCAACTCAAAGGTTTATTCATCAGACAACAGTATATATAGAGGAAAAAGGTTCGTGTGTCAGCAGATTCTCAGTTCAGACCGGTACAGACCAAATAAGGAAACGTCTTCCTGCCTCCTGAGCAAAGAAGTATCCTTTGTGTAGTTTATCTCTTCAGTTACAATTTATGATCATCCCAGCAAAATACACTCCTAGACATAGAATACAGAGTTCTTTCATTAGTGAATTCTGAAACAAACCACCTGGCCTTTAACGAGCCTTTTTCTAAGAGATAAAGAAGGGAGGATGGGAGTAAGGAAGTGGTCTCGTCTTTGTGGTGTTTTCGACCTTGGGGTACCAGCCTGTGAGTCTTACACATTAATTCTTGGGTCAGAGAGAAAGAGAAAAACAACTAGTAAATGGGCCTTATTGAGTAACAGTTTTCCTGTATAATATCACTATAAAACAATATCCTGTAAATGCTACCATGGTATCAAAATATCACAACATATACCACTACAGGATGTATGTCTACAGAATGTGGTCCTGTAGACCTAAAACTAAAGATGACTCACTCACATTTTTGCTCATCCTAGCCTCAGTGCCTTTTTCTGTTTAGCACCTACTAACATGTGCTTTACTTATTTCTTATCTATTCCCTTGCTTTGTTTTTCTCTATTCATTCTAATTTTTGTACAGCATTTCTTTTTTTTTTTTAAATAGATATTCTTTATAAATAAAATTTAAGTCGAGTCATGTTTTACAGTCTTGATACATGCTGGAATTACTGAAAGAGCATCTCAACCTCTGACCTCATTAAAATCGAGAAAAACTCTTAAAGCTGGAGGAAAAAATCAGTTTTTTTCAAGTGTGTAATAAGAAACTACAACGAGATTTTATGAATGATTGTGACGTGTTGATTCCATCTCTAATTTATACATAATGTCTGTGACATCACGAGCCTCATTTTGCTAAAATGCACCTTGTTGTAATGTTACGGACATTAGACACCAACAGTTATTATATTTTCAGTTACTGCCAGTTAATAAGGCAGAACATGCTGCATGCTGCATGAGTGAACGGTAAGAGCGACATTTAAGACAGCAGCCATTTCCACTTATGTTTGGCATGCTAAAGATGAGCTGCCGAAGTTCAGACTGAGCGTCAGAACGGGGAAGATGCTGATCTGCTGTGGTTTTCCCACAAAATCAGCTCTAGGGTTTACAGAGGATGGTCCAAATAAAGAGAAAACATCCATTGAGCGGCAGTTCTCTTAGAATGTTTGCTAATGCCAGAGGTAATAATATAATCAGACTGCTTCAAGCTGCTGGGAAGGAAACAGTCACACAGGATGCCACTCCTATGAGTCAATTACAGGAAATTGATGCTATTGTACCACAGAGGCTTTATCTAGTTTCTATTTCTGCTGCAAAATAATAATAATAATGATGGATTAGATTTATATAGCGCTTTTCAAGGCACCCAAAGCGCTTTACAATGCCACTATTCATTCACTCTTGCATTCAGTGCTAGGACCAATTCTGTTTACATTATACATGCTTCCCTTAGGCAGCATCATTAGAAGACATAGCATACATTTTCACTGCTATGCCGATGACACCCAGCTCTATCTGTCCATGAAGCCAGATAACACACACCAATTAGTTAAACTGCAGGAATGTCTTAAAGACATAAAGACCTGGATGGCCGCTAACTTTCTGCTTCTTAATTCAGATAAAACTGAGGTTATTGTACTCGGCCCTGAAAAGCTTATAAATATGGTATCTAAGCAGATTCTTACTCTGGATGGCATTACCTTGGCCTCCAGTAACACTGTGAGGAACCTTGGAGTCATTTTTGACCAGGACATGTCCTTCAACGCACATATTAAACAAATATGTAAGACTGCTTTCTTCCATTTGCGCAACATCTCTAAAATTAGAAATATCCTGTCTCAGAGTGACGCTGAAAAACTAGTTCATGCATTTATTACTTCCAGGCTGGACGACTGTAATTCATTATTATCAGGATGTCCAAAAAACTCACTGAAAAGCCTTCAGCTGATCCAAAATGCTGCAGCAAGAGTCCTGACAGGGACTAGAAAGAGAGAGCAGATTTCTCCTGTTTTGGCTTCCCTTCATTGGCTTCCTGTTAAATCCAGAATTGAATTCAAAATCCTGCTCCTCACATACAAGGTCTTAAATAATCAGGCCCCATCTTATCTCAATGACCTTGTAGTACCATATCACCCTATTAGAGCACTTCGCTCTCGCTCTGCAGGCCTACTTGTTGTTCCTAGAGTATTTAAAAGTAGAATGGGAGGGAGAGCCTTCAGTTTTCAGGCCCCTCTTCTGTGGAACCAGCTTCCAGTTTGGATTCGGGAGACAGACACTATCTCTACTTTCAAGATTAGGCTTCAAACTTTCCTTTTTGCTAAAGCATATAGTTAGGGCTGGACCAGGTGACCCTGAATCCTCCCTTAGTTATGCTGCAATAGACGTAGGCTGCCGGGGGATTCCCATGATGCATTTAGTTTTTCCTTTCCAGTCACCTTTCTCACTCACTATGTATTAACAGACCTCTCTGCATTGAATCATATCTGTTATTAACCTCTGTCTCTCTTCCACAGCATGTCTTTTATCCTGTCTTCCTTCTCTCACCCCAACCGGTCGCAGCAGATGGCCCCGCCCCTCCCTGAGCCTGGTTCTGCCGGAGGTTTCTTCCTGTTAAAAGGGAGTTTTTCCTTCCCACTGTCGCCTAAGTGCTTGCTCATAGGGGGTCATATGATTGTTGGGTTTTTCTCTGTATCTATGAAGCGCCTTGAGGCGACTTTTGTTGTGATTTGGCGCTATATAAATAAAATTGAATTGAATTGAATTCACACACTGGTGGAGGCAAGCTACGGCAGTTGGTAGAGTCACTTTGGTGTGAACAAAACAAAAGCATAGATCCATCCTGCTCTGTATCACCAGTTTAGGCTGGTGGTTTTGTTGTAATGGTGTGAGGCAGACCTTCCTGGCACACATTGGACACCTTAGTCCCAACTGAGCATCATTTACAACACCAAAGCCTACCCGAGTATTGTTGCTTCTTATGTTGTAGCTTCTTGGGATGTGCACAAACTGTGTGATGCTGTTGTATCAACATGGATCAAAATCTGAGGAAAGTTTCCAGCACCTTGTTGAATCTGTACCATGAAGAATTAAAGCAGTTCTGAAAGCAACAAGTGGTCCAACTCGTACTAGCTAGGTGTAACTAATGAAGTGGCCAGCGAGTGTATAGTTAAAAGAGGCAAACATAAACGCACAAACACAGTGAACTCAGGTCTGTTTGGAGTTATTAATTAAAACAAATCATTGCAGTGCAGACAGAGGTGCAGGAGGCTCCTGACATATAGTACAACTGGTGCTTTGTCACAATTGGATTAGCTAACATTTTCATATTTTCCATGCAGAGAGCAATGAAGCCAAAATGCAAAAACATCAAATGTAGGAAAACATAAAATTCTTTATTTGACTCATTTACAGCAATTAACAGAATTATGTAAAGTACAGAGACAGCACTAAAGCAGCTACAATATACTGCAAAATAAATAAACCCACCAAAATAAATACTAATCATACAAGTCAGCAGTTTGTACCAACAGATCTTTTTTTTTAAGGTCCAACAGAAAAAACAAATCAAGAGACTGAAATCAGATAAGGCATGTCAACCATTCAACCGCATCAACACACAAACAAAAACATGAAGAAACCCCCAAACCAGTTATAGGTTTTCTAACAGTTGGTAATAGACTAAGAAAAAAAAGCCCTTTATGTATTTATTTAAGGTCACTTTAAACTGAATTGAGATTCCAAATGATGCCATAAGCTGGGTTAGGAATGTTGAAATATTTAACTCAGCCAGCTTCTGAACTGGTAATAAAACGTGTGCTGCACAAAAGTGGCTGCTAGATAGTTGATGTTATATTGTAGAAAATAGGAAAGCGGTCTAACACTGAGAAAAGCTCTCAAAGGTTTATCGAACTAAGACGAAGAAAAAAAAAGGTGACCATTTAAAAACAAAAAACAAACATCCTGGTAGGGATGGATTTTTTAGATCAATATTTAACTTTCAGCTTTAATCCAGTCTGTGAAAACACACAAGAGTGACCTTTTGCACTTTGTACCCTGCAGGATTCACACCAAGTGTGTAAACAGGACCATGCATACATTTGGTGATGCTCTTTAAAATGTGCCAAACTAAATGTCTATTAAATTAACGCATTTGCTCGCTTGATTCCTGATTGATGTGAGGAAGTAAAACTTGTAGTACTGCTGGAGTTAAGTTTGGTGAATTGAACACGAGGCAAAAAGTATTCAAAACATTCAGTAAAACGATGCAACTAAACTAAAATACAAATATGAACAAATATTACTGACTAAATAATTTCATCTGTGAAACCTCATCCTACAGTTTGCTCATTCTCTTTGATCAAAAGTGCAAAACATATCAAAGAAACCAGCAAACTGTGTTGTCAATTATCAGAACGATCTCACTGCCAGTGTCCTTCATACACATATTTTCACCTCGTCTTCAGTTCACATGGAAATGTGAAGACCTTAACAGTTAACCTGATGAACATTTCTTAGACATACTTAAAGAAAAAGAAACTGGATGTGCTTGTTCACCATTAAGTAAATAAACTATGACTTTAACAAAAACAAAGTGAGTTGCGAGAGCTATGTGAAAAATATCCTGAAAAGTGAAGGACTTTCCTCCTCTTCAAATGCAGATATTTATCCCAGATCACAGATTTAAACTTCCAGGGGAGTTGGAACTCTCAGCCGGGCCTGCTTGCTGCCTTGATGTCCTGTCAGCTCTGAGGTCTTTGCCAGGGGTTAAAACACCACCAGGTTTACCGGGAGAAACCCAGTCAGCTGATCACTTGTGTCAAACCTTCACTCACCGTCCAAGTCCCGCTTAAGCAAAGTTTCCTGGCAGCAAAGAAAACACGACTTAGTCAACCTGCTGCATGGGATAAGCCTCTAACTTGTGAGTCAAACTGTGTTTCTATATATTATAGGATAAATTCCACATAAACAAACAAAAGAAACTCATTGATGGGACAGCCTGTTTGTTTATATTGTGATTGTGTCAGTTTAAAGTCTAGACAGGAGGAAGAAACTGTAGCTTAACGGATGTATTCTGTACGCCTTTCAAACAGCCCACATTTGCAGTTCTTTCAAACTATTTTAAAAGCTGAGATGCAAATGAGAAAATCTGAGGTTGCTGGCTTCAAATCTTAATAGTAAGACATGCGTGTGTGCGTGTTTTTCCTGAGGAGGAAACACCTGTTGATTGCGTCGCTTCAGAAGCACGAGGCTGTTTTTTTAACTACCAAAAGAGAAAGTTGCTGCACTTCATCCATCCATCCATCCATTCGCTTCCGCTTATCCTTTTCAGGGTCGCGGGGGGCGCTGGAGCCTATCCCAGCTGTCATAGGGCGAGAGGCGGGGTACACTCTGGACAGGTCGCCAGTCTGTCGCAGGGCTAACACACAGGGACAGACAACCATTCGCACTCACATTCATTCACACATTCACACCTAGTGACAATTTGGATTTTCCAATTAACCTATCCCCACAAGCTGCATGTCTTTGGACGGTGGGAGGAAGCCGGAGTACCCGGAGGGAACCCACGCAAACACGGGGAGAACATGCAAACTCCACACAGAAAGACCCCGGCCTGATGTTGGAATTGAACTCAGGACCTTCTTGCTGTGCGGCAACAGTGCTAACCACTGTGCCACCGTTGCTGCACTTACCACAGCTTAATTCAAGGACAACACACACGAAACATTTAGGAGCAAGGAGCAATATTTAGAAGCACTAGGTTTTTTTGTCATCCGTCCCAATTTTACCCTCAAAGAAATCCACTCTTCTTCACCAGAACTGCTTACAGCGGCTTGATAAGATTTGACTGACTGTAATGGAATAACTGAAGCAGGATCACCAGGTTTCAATCCACATTAACCCAACCCCTGATCTGTGTATCACTACTGAACGCGGCTCGAGTCAAAGCAGCAAGCAGAGCCCAGCCAAAAACAAACAAATGCATAAATGTTTAATGGGGGGACTCCTATAAATGGGATGATCTTAGCCAGCCTCCTTATAGTGAAAACATTGTTCAGGGCTACTAAAGGCTGAGTCAGGGACCTTATGATAACACATTGTGCTGTTTGACAATCCTGTTTCCTCTAATAAGAGAAGCCTGCACATTAGCCACAATATACTCCCTCACATCTACTAATTCGCTCCTTCGAGCATGCAAAGCAGGCCTCTTTAGACGTTAATGCAAGCCTAAGCTCTACTTCTTTGCTCTCAGACTGCAGGCTTGCTTGTGGTTCTCAGGGCATTTAAAAGTAGCTTTCAGGCCTCCTCTCCTGTGGAACCAACTCTCTCTTTGATAATCCAGCCCTAACTATGTGCTTTAAGTGACTCTGTTGGAGGAGCCTTGAGGGGACTGTTGTTGTGATACGGGGCTGTATAGCTAAACTTCAATTGAACTGCTAGATTAGATAGCACCCCTCCGTGAATCGCTACTTTATCGTGGTGGAGGGGTTTGTGTGTCCCAGGGATCCCAGGGGCTATGCTGTCCGGGGGCTTTTGCCCCCTGGTAGGGTCTCCCATGGCAAATTGGTCCTGTGAGGGACCAGACAAAGAGCGATTCAGAAGTACCCTATGAAAAGACCATCGAGGGAGCAGTTCACCCTGCCCGGGATAGGGTTACTGGGTCCCCACCCTGGAGCCAGACCTGGGGAGGGTGCTCGAGGGCGAGCGTCTGGTGGCCGGGTGCGCCGAGTGGCAGTTCAGAGTACCCAGCCTTCTTAGAGTCCTTGGGTAGGGTGCTGGAAGGTGCTCCACCTGGAGACTCTGTTGTCCTACTGGGAGACTTCAATGCTCACGTGGGTAACGACAGCGAGACCTGGAGGGGCGTGATTGGGAGGAACGGCCTCCCTGATCTGAACCCGAGCGGTGTTTTGTTATTGGACTTCTGTGCAAATCACAGTTTGGCCATAACAAACACCTTGTTTGAACATAAGAGTGTGCATAAGTGCACGTGGCACCAGGACGCTGTAGGGTGCAGGTCGATGATCGATTTTGTAATCGTATCACCAGAACTGCGACCATATGTTCTGGACACTTGGGTAAAGATCAGGGATGTAAAGCACTGGGGGAAATGCCGGTTTTTGTTTGGCATTTTCTTTAAGGAATAGTCCAATAAACGCAATGAACAGTTTGTTTTTGTGTGCAGGAAAAAAATGGGAATGACAAAAACATTTGAAAATACGACTTATATGGCTTAACGGACGTGCATGTGGGTCCAGGTTCAGTTTGCAGTTGCATGCTACCTGCCCAACAGCTATGGTTTCCCTTTATTGTTTATTATGTAGTTTCCTTCTTTGGATGTGTTTTTGCAGGATTATTAAATCACTGGGAGCAGTGAAAAAGAAATTTTAAAACATTTTTGCTAGTGAGGGTTGCATCTTATTGTCCTAAAAAAGATAAAACAGAGGGTGTAAGATAGCCATGAAGTGGGAAAACAACATGTAAAGCAGTTAGCTGTATCTCTCACATGTGCACACAAGCTTAAAATATCTCTTCTCTCCACAAACACAAACTACTGGTTTTACCTTCAAACTCCTCTCACCTTGACTATATGTGTGTCTGAACCCATCGGTGGCTCTTGAATGACGAGGGGGTCCTGGGATTCCTTCAGGGAGAAGCTCTGCACAGTGAGAGATCTGTAAGGTTGGAATTCTTTCCTCCACCACCATGCAGCCATTCCCAACAGCAGGACACTGAGGAACACTTGGAAACACACACAGGAAATTCATCAGTTTTTTGGAGTTCCAGACATGACATAGAAGCTGAAGTCATGCATGATGTCACTTCTATTACCTCCACTGAGTGGACAAATGGGTGGCTGCATGAATGGAAAAACACTTGTGGAAAAAGCCCTTTGGACTAAAAACGCTTCATAAAAACTTGAAAACATTTACTTATGTGTGGTAAATGAAATGCTTCTTATTTTGCTTTTCTACTAAATTTGGGCATTTTTATAAAACAGGTCTCGTTCACGCACATTCATATAAGCATTTTTTGCAAAGATATTCATTTGCAAGCTTGACTTCATACATGTAATCAAGCATTATATTATGACCACACAGGTGATGTGAATAACACTGATTATCTCTTTATTATGGCACCTGGTAGAGGTGGGATATTATCAGGGAACAAGTGAACATTTTGTCATTGTGGCCCGGGTCTGCTGTGGTCAGTATCTATCAAAAGTGGTCCAAGCAAGGAACAATGGTAAAACCAGTGACAGGGTCATGGGCAGCCAAGCCCCATCAATGCACGTAGGAAGCAAAGGCTTCCCTGTGTCGTCCAAATCAACAGATGAGCTACCGTAGCTCGAATTGTCAAAAAAGTTCATGCTGGTTCTGATAGAAAGGTGTCAGAATACACAGTGCATTAGTTAGGTGCATATGAGGCTGCAGAGACACAAACCAGTCACGGTACCCATGCTGACCCCTGTCCACCCTTTCATGGAAACCGTATTGCCTAATGGCTGTGGCTGCTTTCAGCAGGATAATGCACCCTGCCACAAAGCAAAAAAGAAAAAAGAAAAAAATCTTTCAGCAATGGTTTGAGGTTTTGATTTGGTCTCCAAATTCCACTGATCTCAATCCAATCGAGCATCTCTCAGATTTGCTGGACAAATCTGATCCATGGAGGTCATACCTCGCAACTTACAGGATAAATACAACAAAACAAAATGACACGACCAAGACAAAAACTGTGGTATTTTGTAAATATAATAATAAATGCCAAATCACTCTGTAATTGTGTAACTTTATTAGCAGTGTCCTCCTGAAATGCATCAACAGCATCAAGAGTAGCTCTCTGCCCCTTAATGCTCTCTGGTCGCTATGGTAACGCGTAAATATTTATTTCAAAATAAGACACACAACTACAACACGGGAAAAGACCCCGGGAAAGAGAGTTAACAATAACAAAAAACAAAACAAACCCTGAAAACCATAAATTTCACACCCGGGCCTCAACTCTCGCGGCCTGGTACCGGCCTGTGGCGCAGGGGTTGGGGACCGTAGAGTCCATTCCTCGATGGGCCAGGGCTGTTTTGGCAGCAAAACGGGGACCAACACAATATTAGGCAGGTGGTCATAATGTTAGGCCTGATCGGTGCATCTCCCTGTGATGACCGATGGAGACCTGTTGCATGTTTATTGGATTACTAATTACTCTGGTAAACTGTAACTAAAAGAAAATCAATGATCCATTCATTTTATTGACTCTGGTGGAAACATTTGTGCCGCTACCAATGAAAGATGACCTTTCATGTCCAGTGTGGATCTGATTTGTTTAAATGTTTTGAGACTTTGACAGATTCTTACCAATCAGAGAAAGGATTCCCAAAAATGTAGGATCCGATAAAGCTGTTGCAGGAACTGAACGGGAGATTGCAGGAATTTCTTCTGTTTTGTTTCTTCCTATTTCTGGAGAAACACAGCTGAACTTTGGACCCTGAGTCAGCAAGTCAATGACACACTTGTGATGGCAAACTGCCCTTGGACGTCCACAAACAGAGGGTCCTTAGAAGAAATCAGCAACAGTTATCAGTCTGGGACCTACAGTGTGAAGAAGTCCCTTTTTGATCGGGCATACCTTTTGGTTGGAGAACAGGCTGTATGATGAGCACACCACCTGGCGAGGTGACGTTAGACAGAAGTGCTTGGAGGTCTGTGCCGTTGTGTTTGTTTGCTCGGCAAATGGACCGCGTAACTTTGTCACTCCAATATACAAATCCCTGAAACCCAGTGAGGGAAAGCTTTAGCAGCACACAGCAGAAATCGGGCTTTGCATGCAAGAAGAAAGCTCCATATCTCATCATGTATCTTGTATACAGTATATCCAGGAAGTATTCACACTTCAATTCAGCAAGTGGTGCAGGCCAAATATTCTCTTTCGTTTTAAGCTGCAGCTGCTGCTGCTGCTGAACTCTTTAACTCAGCTGTGATGAAATTATAAAAGGGGAATGATCAAGCACCGGTGAAATGTGCAAGCAGCATGTCTTCTCAGTGATAGCCAATGGCACAAGTAATAGATCTTTTAGTGGAAATTTAGGCACTTTTGTCGCATGCATGTTGTGTTAGGAGTATTGTGTGTTGGGTTTTAAGGTGAAAAATGAATTGAATGCACTTTGAATAAGCCTGCAAAATAACAAAAAGCGGAAGAAGTGAAGCACTGTAAATCCTTACTGGATGCACTGCATTTAGTTTCCTTGCATATAGCTGCCTTCAGTATTAAAATGCATTTGTTGTTGCCCCCCGGGTCTGACACAGGATGTCAGGCAGCACAGACCATAATGTAATTCTTGTACCTCGAACACAGACAGTCCAAACGCTCGGTCCAGATAGCCATTAGACTCCACCACCGTTTTACGCTGACGACCGTCTAGATTTACTCTTGAGATTCTTCTCATTCCCTCATCAAACCAGTACAGCAGCTGCCGAGGCATATCTAAGGGAACGTGCGACATGAATACGAGCACTAAGTGACTCAACATAAATATATTCAAATGCTCCGAACTGAAGGTCTGACTTCTGCCTGAAGTACAGAAAAATGAACTCATGTTGTTCCTGATTTAAGGACGAAGATGTTTTTCCTCTCCTCTGATTTCTCTAAATAATGCCAGTTTGACAGCAATTAATTTGAATGTCAGAACGTACCTAGAGAGATGGCTACAGGCTGGCGTATTGAGGAAGTGACCAGAGCTTTTCTGTCGCAGCCGTCCAAACCGGCACTTTCGATCTTTGGGGAGACACCACAATCTGCCCAGAAAAGCAGCCTGAGAAAATAAAAGCACCCATGTTTTGATCTTCTGTAGCTTTGATTTTTAAGACTTATTTTACCTTTTGGTGATGTCTTTTTTTAATTTAGGAGACAAGCTATTTGCCAACAAATAACACTTCAATAAAGACGAAACAAGCAAAAATAAATATGCAAAACTAAAGGAAGTGGTTGGACCTACTAGCATAAAGCAAGGAAGAGAATGTATTATTTGAATAATTCAATGCCTTCAAGCATGACATGGACACAGTCATGCTTAAACACCATATGAACTGTATTAATGTAGGGTTTTGTAATGTGCTGCCCTTCCCTGGACAAGTAAAGGTGTAAATGTTTAACCAGCTCCAGCGTAACGTGCTGGCTTTTAGCTTCTTTGCTTTGAAATGCAATCATTGTTATTTAACAACCATGATGCAACAGCCCCTTATCAAAGGTGAAGCATTTTTTTTTCCTTATCTTGTGCTGTTAACCATTAAAATGAAATGCAAAATCCCAGAGCCTCGTACCCTCGGAGAGGATCCACGGCCACTGCGGAGGGCTTGTCGAGCCCTGTGATGAGCCGACGATGAGCTGAACCATCCAGAAAGGCCACGCTAACCCACCCCATCTCTATACTGGTCCAGTAGAGAAGTTGGTGGATCCAATCCACCACCATGCTGGTTACCGAATCTTGAACTTTCAGCACCAACACAGCTTCCTGTGGCTTTCTATCCAAGGAGATCCTAAAAAAAACAATGCAAGAGTGAAAATAAGAAGCCCAGACAACACATTAAAAAAACAAACAAAAAAAAAAAACCCACCACAACAACAACCACAACAACGACAGTGTGTTTATTGAAATTTCAGCTCTAACAAATCCAATCAGACTCCATCCATGCCACTGGCGCCATCCCACAACAGGCTAATTCATCAGAACTCGGCCTAAACATTATTTTATCACATTAGCAACAGTAATGTTAGTGTTAGCACCGTCTCAGACTGATGCATCACCACAGTCACCCCCACCACAGAACAATTCATGACCAACATTTCCTTCCCCTCCACTATCAGGCTGATGTTTCCAGTTCTGTCTCAGTGAAATATTTTAGCAGTTACTCAAAACACTTTTTTTTATTATTATCTTATATTGTATATCTTAGATCGTGGCTCAAGAGTTGGACGTTCGCCTTGTAATCGGAAGGTTGCCGGTTCGAGCCCCGGCTTGGACAGTCTCGGTCGTTGTGTCCTTGGGCAAGACACTTCACCCGTTGCCTACTGGTGGTGGTCAGAGGGCCCGGTGGCGCCAGTGTCCGGCAGCCTCGCCTCTGTCAGTGCGCCCCAGGGTGGCTGTGGCTACAATGTAGCTTGCCATCACCAGTGTGTGAATGTGTGTGTGAATGGGTGGATGACTGGATGTGTAAAGCGCTTTGGGGTCCTTAGGGACTAGTAAAGCGCTATATAAATACAGGCCATTTACCATTTACCATTATATATACACACACATTTTATTTTTTTCAAGTCAAATTTTTTATTTTACTTTTTAATCCACTACTAGAAGCCAGTACTTGTGCACTTTAACAGCCTTAGCTGTACTTTCTATATAGGAGCAACTGGCATAATTTAGCATTCAAAGATTCTGTGTTCTGATTTTGGAGTTACATAATGAGAAAAGAGAAGAAAAAAAAAAAAACAAGAACAAAAAATATAGACAAACACAAACAAATATTCACAATATGGAAACGTCACACACATAAAAAAGGGAATACTATTAAAAAGTGGTATTGTAAAGTGCAGTGGCCTTGTGCATGTCTTCAGGTGTGTGTGCAGGGGGTGTTAGATTTCAGAGCTGTAGGAAAGAAACTGTCCCTATACCTCCTGGGAGACAGAGGGGCAGTTTATTAGCCAGGGGGGTGGAGACCGTGTAATAAGTTCCCTTTCAGTCGATTCACTCAGTACAACACATGTATGGGATATCATGCCCTCGCGTGTCCTGGCTGAAGAGACCTTTATTCACGCCTTTAAGGCAGATGACGTGTGATGACACACGCACAGCCCCGCCTGCACTGATAGCCGCTGTCATCACAGTTGTGGAATAAGGGAAATATTTTACTGCTACTCATACTTATCATTATAACCATTGCATTAATTAACTTTCAGGGCCTGAATTCATCACCATATTTGAAAGAAGATGCTAGAGAGGGGAACTTCGGTGTCTGCATTTATCTCTTAAAATTGATCATTGTCTGTAAAAGATGCAACTTATGTTCTTGTAAAACCCTGACGTTATAAAAGCAATCTGTGTATTTTTGGGCGGAGATCTACATCTGATGTTTTGCAGTGTACATGTTCCCACGCGTGTGTTCAATAAACTCATCTGTTTGATTGCATCCTTCTGGGCCTCTGGTATTTTGTTTTGGTTCTCAACATCGCGAATTGGGACACAGTCATCCCTCAGTTCTTACGCTCTTCACCTCGCTGAGAACACCTCTGCTGAGTTGGGCTAGCTAGCTGCTGCTAGTTAGCTCCGTTGTCTGCCGACTTGAACTTAGCTTAACTGCCCCTGTTGGTGTTAGCCTCCACCGTGCAGTTGGTGCGTGGGTTGCCCGCAGAGCACTAATTTCGAGTTTTAACTGTGCAGCGTTTTGCTTTGCTTTTTAAAATGGACTCCAAACTGAAGCTAGCAAAGCAGAAATCTTCCGTTCTCCCGTCCTCTCTTTGCATGATAGCAACCAGCACGATGCCTGCTCTGTCTGCCTGGGGATCGTTCACGCTAGGAGAGCGTTGACGGAGCCTGAAGCCTGTGCATTTTGCCGCCACCTCTGGCGCTCGACCCTGGAAAGATGGGTGATGTTTGTGGAAAAAGTGCTGGGACGCTCGGCTGTCGCACAGCATGGCCCAATGTGCCGCCACTGCTGCGCCAGTCAGCCATGATGACACCTTTCTTTTCTCCCTGTTTCGCTGTGCTGCTGAGAAGCTGCAGGTGGACTGGTCCTCTCCTCCGCCAGCTCAAAAGCCGTCGTGGTTCGCTAGTTTTTTCCTCCTACCAGAGCCCGCATCGGCCAAAAAGCGGCTTCCCATGTTTCCAGACCTTGTCTGCGAGCTAACGGCATCATGACAAACCTCTGTCTAGCCGCATCACTGTGCCCGGCTATGGAAAGTACATGGAGTTGGACGGCGCCGAGGAAGCTGGCTTAGTTAACGCAGTCTCTGGCTGCTTATCTGGCCCCATCCCATAACGATGGTGTTGGCGGCCCAGCAACTCTGCCATCCAAACACTGCAGATTCTCAGCTTCGCAGATGGAGAAGATTTATCAGGCTCAGGCCGGCACTGCTTGCGCAATGAGCTCCGTCACCATGCTCCAGACGTACCAGGCTATGTGCCTGGTGGAGCTCGAATCGCTGGTTCCTGATGACAGCCCGCTGGTACCTCTTCCTAACGAGGTCAGAGTTGCCACAGATTACATCCTCCTTGTGTCCCGCTGTGCAGCGCTCTCCCTGGGCAGAGGAATGGCTTTGACAGTAGTGGCGCAGAGGCACCTGTTGCTGACGCTCTCAAATGTCCCGGATAGAGACAGGGCTGTATATTTGGACGCACCAGTGTCTGCGGCTGGGTTTTTTGGACATTCACTTGAAGCCATTCAGGTTAGATTCGATCTGAGGAAGAAGCAGACAGAAGCTCTGCGCGCCATCATCCCCAGACGTCAGGCGAAGCCCAAGCCCGCAGCTAGCTCTCACAGGCCTGCCGCTCCTCTGCCAACTGGCAAAAGACCAGCGCCCACTGCTACAGTGGGTGTGCCGCTAGCAAAAGCACATCCTACAGCCCGAGCTCCACACCAGTCGGCCTGGAGCAAAGGCCCACCCGATGCCCAGGAGAAAGAAGCCTCAGCCCTCCTAGCTGTGGTTCTGAGTGGAACAGGGGGCCAGCAGCAGGGAGACGCTGCTTTTACCCCTCTGTTGCTGCCCAAGAGGTGCCGCTTAAGTTCTGTTTAGGTTGTCAGCTCCAGAATGCGCTGCCTAACACTGTCTCCCAAGCACAAAACCCGTGCACACAAAATGCCTCAGGTTGTAACTCCCTGTTCAGGTGTGTTAAATGTTCAGGTGACCACATCACATGTTACCGCTGTTTTTCCATTGTTGTGCCCCAGGAAAGGTGCCTCCAAAGAAAATGTATGAATGTACATCTTTCCATGTTACAATCAATAACACTCAGACAGGTCTTGAATGAAGTCGGCCCGGGAGATTGATTGTTGCAAACCAATCTAACAGATGCTTATTTTCATGTGGCTATAAACCTGAAACGCAGGCAGTTCCTGATTTGCATTCGAGGGCTTAGCCTATGAATACCTGGTGCTGCCGTTTCGGGCTGTCGCTCGCTCCTCGCACCTTTGCCAAATGTGCCGAGGCAGCGCTAGCGCCCCTCAGAGAGAGAGGCGATGCCGTCTG